TCCTAACTAAATCTCAATCAAGTCCTAATAAAATCTTGATAAAATCCTTATGTAATTCTAAACATATCCTAAATAAATTCTTAGTAAATCCTAATCAAATCCTAAATAAATTAAATTTTATTTCGTAAATCCTAATAAAATCTTAATTAAATCATAAATCCTAAAAAATCATAAAAAAATCATAAAAAGTGAATCTTAATCAAATCCTAAATCTTAATCAAATCCAAAATCTTAATCTAATCGGCATCAAATTCTAACAAAACCTTGGCAAACCCTCATCAAATTCTAAAAAAAAATAAAACTTTAATAACTAATTTTATATTTGTTGATTTCAAGTCAAAATTTGCACATCTCTTAATCTATAAGTTTTAAATAAGTTTTGATCTAGAAGTTCTAAATATTAAGGAAGATCAAATATATCAAATAGAAGATAAACTTCATAATCCACTTGAATGTCAATCAATTTCTTTTTCCATACTTAATATCGATCTCTCAATACTATTATCTATTGATCCCACTATTTAATTTCTTTCAATTTTTTTTTATAGATGTAGTTAATTAAGTATGCTACTAATGTACAAAATTTTATCTCAATCTAATTGACAAATTGTTGCAAATCTTAGAGATCCTCGCTAGTCCTCTAAACTCTAATTTCTAAGATTTCAATATACTTTAATTTTTATAACCCTAAAATACACTATTAAATCAAGCTCAAAGTTATACAAAACATTCAATACAACAATGAACATACAACCACAAACTTTAATTTGCAGATCCACCATCAGTCTTTTGAAAGTCTCCAAAATATAAACCTTTTATATTTTTCAAAAAAACAAAGCGACTCCAAAACAACTTTGACTTTGTAGAGCCTTTACTAAGTCATTACAAACTCAAATCACTCAAACCCAATGCCCAAAGAACTTTACTTTAGTTTGCTTTCAAATCTTATTCTTTAACTAACAAAAGAACCTAAGAATTGCCTTGGATGCATGGTATTGTGCTTAAGGGTTTGATTTCAACCTTATTTTACAACTAATCATTTTCATAGAAAGTTAGTAGAAGCTTATTTTACAAAGAGGCAAAATTAATACTTGCTAGTTTTATTACTTCATTGACTATTAGCTATATAGTTAAGGTAATTAGTTACAATATTTCTAATTAAGTCCTTCTATAATATAATCTTTTTTTTTTTTCTTTTATCTAATAGCTGTATTATAACATGATATTGTTTATATATGTAATATACAAAATTTAAAATATCTGTATTTGATTTGTAAAAGATGATTTTAAAACATGGTTTTATTTCTAATATCACGTAAAAACCAAAAAATATATATAAAAAATAAAAAAAATAAAAAATAGACTACTAGTATAATGTTTTTAAAGAAATTAGAAAAAACTAAAATCATTTCTATTTAAAAATAAATATTTTAAATAATTAATATTTTAATTTTTAAAATGGTTATAAGATTGTATAAAATAGTATGAAATGTCAATTAACTTTTAAGTAAAAAAATTAAATAATAAATTTTAAATTTTATATATTGATAATTAATTTATTCTATTGATTATGTTTTGATTGCACTCTATTATTATACCTATTTTTAAATTTAAAAATTAATTGTTATCATAAAAAATATTTTTTTATTTAAATTTATTCTATATTATATTTTTTAGTTTTTTTAATCATACTTTTTAAATTTTTATAATGTAAATGTAGTTGACTGATAAAATTATTTTTAATGAAATTTTTTAAATATTTTTTAAATACCAACCATAGTTAAGAATAAAAATATTTTAATGAAAAATTTTCTTTATAACTCTATTGATTACAAAAAAAATTCTATTAATAAATATAGATAAAATTCATATGTATCTTTACTTGCAGTAATTTCAAAAACTTTTACATTTTAAAAAAGTATCAAAGATTCAAAATAGAATAAGTGATGAAAAATAGATTAAATATGTTTTAATTTCAAATCACTAAAAAAGAAAATTTGATTATTATTAAAGTCAATTTTATTTCAACATATGTCCAAATATGTTTTACTTATTTAAAAAATTAAAATTTTTATTTTTAAATTTTTTTAAAAATTTTAGAATTTATTTTAAGGTAAATTTATAAGAAATTATGATGATTATGTTTGTAAAATATTTAGAAAAAAAAATATAAAGTGGATCCACATATATCTCTATAATTAAAAAATATTATATTTTTTTAATTTAATAGTAACTTAATTAATTAATTGAAATTTAATAAATATAAGATATTATATTTTAATAATTTAGTTAAATTTTAAAAAATAGATAATTTAAAGATAATTCTTTTCTTCTCAAGCAAATCAAGTATTATAAAAACCAAATGCAAAAAAATATTACTAATTTATTCATAAAAATAATTTTATAATTATAATTTTGATTGAAAGTTTGAATTATATGTATATAAAAAATAAAATTAATAATCATTTTTACAAAAAAAATATATTTACTCTTAAATTATATATTAAAGAAATTATTCTTATTTTTTTCTCTTTGAAAAAAATAAATTTACTTTACTCTTTGCAAAAGACACTATTTATTAGAATTAAAGAACTTGTTCTTTAATTTTTGCCAAAGAATGTCAAAAAAAATTATACTTCTTAATAATTAGTAAAAATTTATTGATTACTATTATTGTCATAATTAAGATAAATTTGTTGATTTGCTTTTGAAGAGTATTATTAACCAAAGCACTTATATTTATTGGTGTTGTACTAATAAGATGTATTTTTTTGACAATAATAGATGCAATATTTGTTTGCAAAGTAGCAATGATAGTAGTTATGGTTGGTGTTGCTATAATTGCCATTGAAGATTTAATTAAATCCATACTTTAGAGGAGAAATATTTTTTTACTAATATGAAAGTCCATTGATATTAGTTTTAAGAATTTTCTAACTTGTCGTTGTGATAGAATCTATGTTTCTTTAGGTTTATAATTTTACTTTTTTAAAAAAATAATTTTTAGAAATATATAGAAATTTAATTCATAGACTAAATATTTATATTTAAAATTTTTAATGTAGAATATTTATATAAAAACATAATATATGATATCTTACATTTCTTTGATTCTAAGAAAATAAAATATTTATTTATATATAATTCATCGATAAAATATATATGTAAGGATAAAATTCTTTCTTCAATCTAAATTACAAGATGGCCTCAATTAAGATTTTTTTATAATTTGTGGTACAAAGTGAGAGAAGAAAATAACAAGAACAAAAAAAAACATAAAACATAAAACATAAAACAAGTGAAATAAGTACAATCAAGCAATTGCACATTACAAAACCAGTTGTAGTTTATTCATTAGCTTTTCATCTAATAAAAAATAAAAAATGAAAATATAATTTTAAGTATGTGAATTTTAAAAATTTTCTAATGATATAAAGAACATACAAATCTAAATTACTACGAATAAGTTATAATAATTTAAAGATAAAATGTGAACAATAAATATGTTAAGTAAGTAATTTTTACCTCAATAATAACTTGCTTAAGAGATCAAGAGTTCAAGCCTCATTCAAGTTCACAAGTATTGTATAAAGATGTCTTAGAGAGGCCTCAAGGCCTTAATCTTATTCTCTTACCTACATCCAAGGTGCTACAATCCATATAAGACTTATGCACCTCTTTTCTTATAATGACTACATTAATTGCTAATTTTCCTATTTTCTACTAATAAATCTAATAATTTTATATTTTTTATTTCACAAAGATATTTAAAAATATCTAATTAGCCTAGGAACCTTATAGGGCCTTCACATCTTCATCCATTTTTTCAAAATGGCTACTAAGATTGTCAAATTTATTTTTATCAAAGTCTTAAAAATTGCTCTAAAAAATCCTTAAATATTTTAAATAAGTTTTAAAATTCTCTATAATATTTCAATAATACTAATATTAATTTAAGGTCAGTTTTTTTTAACTTGATAATTTAATATAATAATAAAATAAATTTAATTCAATTCAAAGTCCTATTTCTCATTAAAATAATTAAAAAGGTATGAAGTTTTTTTTTTATGATTCTTCTAACCACTAACTAACATTTATAAGTTTTTTTTTTTTTAATAATAAATATAGATACAAGGCCAAATGTAGATATTGGTCTCAATAACAAAATACTAATAGTAAGCAAAAATGCTAAATAAACTAAGATAATTGCCTCTAAGACTTATTAAGACTCCATTTTAATAACTTTTTTTTTCCTCATAAGTCTCTTGTAATTTATAAAAACTTCTAAATTTTAATAAATACTTAAATAATAAAAAAATTCTCTCTAAACCTAATATTTTTGTATTTAAATAACTTAAAAACTATACTTTTAATAATTCTACCAATTAAGCTTTATTGATGGGGCTCAAAATATTAAAAAATAATTCCTATTAATAAAAAAAATTAAACAAGAGGAGTATTTTATCTTCTAATTTGTTGTTACATACTTACATGAATCTGAAAAGCTATAAAAGATCTACGTAAACAATAAAATAAAAACTAGATTTTATCTACATTGTTATCATAATCTACTTCTAAGAAATCTCATAGTCTTTCTTCTATCTACATGATGCTAAGTTGCCTCTTCTAAATCACACTTTTCATAGTTTAAAAGTAGGGATCTTAAGAGATGGTGACAAAACAAGTTATACTACCAAATATTGTACAACTTGTTGTCAAATGGTCAAAACAACAGACATTGCAAATGAACATAATCCGTGAATGGTGATAAGACCCCATATTTTTGTATATGTTGATTAGTTTTTTAAATCATAATAATAATAATATTTTTCCTCTCAACATCTCTCCGCTCGCCCAAACCCCCCCCCCCCCCCGAAGTCTCCCGACGACGAAAGGGGGCGGGGAGGTGGCAACGAATGAAGGGGCAGGCGACATCACCCATCCACATGGGCGGGTTTAGCGGGGGGTGGGGAGCCCCATCCGAGGCGAGGCCATGGCATTGGTGGGCGGTGGGTTGCGATATCCGAGCTGCAGCGCTGCGTGTGGCCGCGCGAGTGTGTGGCTGTGGCCTCGCGAGTTCTCCATTGCTGGGCCTGGCACAGCCCCAATCCGGTGCCCGCCTCGCTCCAGTCCCCGCTGCTTCAACTTGTGGGGAGCTCCCTTTCTTTCTCTTGATCGGAGTCCCACCTTCCCCGCGCCCCTTCTCTCTGTGTTGCACACCCCCCGCGCTGTGGGAAGTAGCAGTGTGTCCAGCGTGCTCAACAGCAATGGCGACCACAGTGACTGCTAGATGCGCCGTGTCTTCCTTCAAGGCCTCCGTTTCCTCCGCCGCCCTCGTACGTTGCTACCCCCCCCTGACGTTGCTGATGCCCCTGTGCTCAATGCTAGTTGACTCGCACGGTCTCTGTTGGATTTCCCTGTCTTGGAAGGACATACAGTGATGTAAGCAATTCGATGCTGTCGCAGAGAGTTGTTCCCTGTCAGCCACTTGGGTGGACGAGTGCTGAGACTTACGCAGCTCGCAGGGTAGTGAAGGATCATGCATTGAGTAATTGTAGAACCTGGTGTTGCTCTGAATGCTTTTCGAACTCCCACTGGTAGTTTGCATACCGGAGGTCTCTTTGCTTAGTGCGCTCGGATTCGACTTATGTTCTGCACTGCGGTGGTTCATCGCGTTGTCTGTTGGTTTTGAATTGGTTAAGTAGGAGGAATTCTGGGTTGTTGTGGGTGTTTTGTGATTTTTTCGCCAGTCAGATTAAGTTGATTTATCCATGATTTTCAGCCGAACTGTAACGCTTGAATAATAAATATCTTGTACTAGTGGTTGACGATACTTCTTGTAACCTACCTACCTACAGGATGTGAATCCGAATCTTCTTTTGCTCGATCATTTATAATGTGTAGAGACCTAGGGGTTTCTACGATATGTATGTCAGTTTACTTCTTGGTTGATACAAGTGATGCTAGAGGTCCCCTATATGTCTGCAATAGCACTTCTTCTGAGCAAACTCTGTTACAGAATGTCTCAGGATATGCAACAGCCATTAAATTCTGCGCAATGTGACTGCTCTGGAACCAGAGGACGAATTCTGACGTTGAAATTTTTCTTGTCTGCAGGAGGGAAAGAGGAGCACTGTGTTTGGTACCAACGTGCCGAGCACCATCAACATTGTGCCCCAGAAGGCCGCGTCGTCTGCCAGGACTGTCGTCACCAAAGCCCAGCTTAGCCCTACTGTAAGTCTCATCTGAACGGAATGCACCATTTCACGACGCAACTTCCGAGCTGGTTCAGCTCATGTGTTTTCAGCAGAGTCCACATTAGGGTACTCCTGTGTGTCCAAAACGTGTCATGGTGAGTGTATTCAGTTCCTGACTCTATCTGTGTCTGTTATGTATACAGGGTGGAAGCAAGAGGAGCCTCATCTTTGCCTCCAAGCAAAGTCTGTCATACCTCGATGGAACGTAAGTTCATCCGCAAGCATAGTGCTCAGCACCCGTGAGTTTGGATGTCGATTTGCTCATCGAGATTGCTGTAATTGTAGAATATGTCCCTCGGAGCACTAATGGGTTTGCCTTTGAATGTGGATGCAGTTTGCCCGGTGATTACGGCTTCGACCCTTTGGGTTTGATGGACCCTGAAGGCGCCGGTGGCTTTATTGACCCCCAATGGCTTCCATACGCCGAGATCATCAACGGCCGGTTCGCCATGCTCGGAGCTGCCGGTGCTATCGCACCCGAGATCCTAGGCAGGATTGGTCTGATCCCTCAGGAGACCGCTATCCCTTGGTTCCAGAGTGGCGTGATCCCACCCGTGGGCAACTACAGTTATTGGGCCGACCCCTACACGCTGTTCGTGTTGGAGCTGGCGTTGATGGGATTCGCCGAACACAGACGTGCGCAGGACTACTACAAACCCGGATCCATGGGCAAGCAGTACTTCCTAGGGCTGGAGAAGTTTTTGGGAGGCTCTGGCAACCCAGCATACCCAGGAGGCCCCATCTTCAACTTTTTGGGATTCGGGAAGAACGAGAAAGAGTTAAAGGAGCTGAAGTTGAAGGAAATTAAGAACGGGCGCCTGGCTATGATGGCGGTGCTGGGCTACTTCATCCAGGCCATCTTCACGGGCGTGGGCCCGTTCCAGAACCTGTTGGACCATTTGGCTGATCCAGTGCACAACAATGTGCTGACGAACTTGAAAATCCACTAGAGCCTGTGGGATTTGTAGATGTGGGCTGTGATAGCATCGTCGTCTCCTCGGGGTGTGGTTGCATACGAAGGCCTCCTCTTCTCTGACTCTTCTCTTTGCAACTCGTTGACGAGGTCTTAGGAAATGTAAATGTATTATGGAATTGGCACCAATATCTTGCAAAACCATGAAGCTAGCACTGTGTAACTGATCATTGTTTCGTGCTACCTCGATCGATGGTGCCTAAACATGTACCTTTCTTGCGTCCTGTGTACCTATCTTTGATGATGCAAAAGTGGAATCTTGTAGCAAACAATTAATCCTTCAAAACACTAGCTCTAACACAATTTGCAACAAAATTCAACCGATTTTGTGATTGTTACAGTGATACTAATTATTTTTCAGAATGTTTCGCGCCATTTGATTGAGTAAATCGACTTGAAGAAATAACCATATAACTAAAAAGTAGATTTTAATTCAAATGCAAATTAAACAATATTAGAATAACTTCTTTCATTCACATAATCAAAGCTATCGTCTATCACAGTGATATTTTAAAATTCCTCTCGCTCCACTGTGAATATCGCATTCACACCCTTCTAACCCTATGCATAGTACAGACTGACATTCTTACCATCTACATACTCTGATCCATGTAAGTACCAAATTTATGAAACCAAAACTTTATTGCAAGATAATTTTGCACATATATCCATCCACTTCAAGAGCAGTAATGAATAAAGAGGACTATCACGCGTCTATTCATACTCATAATGATCCTTTACGTTATTATCCGTACACTCAATAGACAACTCTATTATTTTCAAAAATCGGCCAAAAAGCAGTATATGTAACAATGCAAAAATTGCCAGTTAGTTGAACACCTACACTTTCATAATTAGTCAAGGCCAAATATAATGACCTCAGCAAGTGTACTTACATTTGCATTCGCAGTTCAATTATTTCCCAACAATATCCTGTAGCCATACCTTCACCAGTTCTCTACATATGTCATCTAACATTACAAGCCGTAATTGGACATAATTTGCAAACTCAGTTTTACTGACATCAATGGTAACCAGTAACGAGCGAAAGAATCACAAGTCAGATATACTAAAATCCCATTTCAAATATGCTGGCGCATTCGAGCCTGATACTGGCAAACGATACTCGTCTGATATCATTAGAGATAAGCCTTCTGTGTACCTACTGAACTCCGGAACACTCCTTAATAACCTTGCACATGCTGATTCTTGTTGATCAATAGAAAGTTTGGGATCAAAAAATAAATGCCTAAGTTTCAATCTCTTCCTTGCTTGCACTTGAAGATCTTCAATCTTTTTCTTAGTCTCCTCATACTTCCGTTTGTAAAAGAGAGCCTCATGGCCTAACTCAGAAATGAATCGAGATACAACCAGATAATTCGCTGAGATTGGCACAACAACCGCTCCTGTGTCTTTATCAACAGAGCAGCCTGAAGAGTGATTACTTGATATCTGCAAATCGAAGACTTCGGTAGCCGCTGTTGCAACAGACATCACCTAGAAAATTAACGAGTGTACTCTATAACAAATTCCGCATACTATCATGTCATCTAACATGCCAGTCATTAGCTTCAAAATTGAGAAAACATGTAAACTAAAAAACTCTGATGCTTTAAAAAATGCTATGTTGAATCCCTTAAGTAAATGATACAAAGTAGGCAAAGCGAGCATCATGAAAGAATTGTAATGCTTCTATCTTCTCGTTCTTTGTGTCCTTAATTTCTTTGCTCCATCTATTTTTCTTTTTAGGGCAAGGGTTGTGAAGAGAGAAAGACCGCGCGCGAGAGCGAGAGAGAGAGAGAGAGAGAGGGCATACCAGCTACTCGAATGGGCAGTTCTTTAAACTTTCCAGCACCAATGGGGCCATGAATCTTAGTCCCTTCAACCATTCCTGACAGGAAAAGGGAATAAGCAGGAGTGACTGCTAGAGTTGAATGGGTAAAGATCACTGCAACTTGCATTGCTTTAGCAACCTCAGATTCTCTTGTACGCCAATTCTTGGCTACAATTTTCCGATCTGCTGCATCCACTAAATCCACCTGCCAAAGTAACTCCTTGACTGTCACTTTATGGTTGTAAAATGTGTATATATATATATATATACACACACACACGCACGCACGCACGAGCACGCACCTGAGCGAAATACTGTACAGTGAAAGAACGAGAATACCGCAACGAGGTCTTTATTCATCTCTAACTTACGTAAAACGAACAATGAAAGCTCGTACAAATAACCAGTGCGCGTTTAAACCATACCTGACGCAAAAACTGAATCCAAGATTCAGCGCCATCATTTCGATCTATCCATAGATTCCCAAGCGCGTCAACTCCATAGCAATCGCTTATCTTAATTGTAAATCCAGACAGTCGAATGTCTATGCATCTGTCTAAAACTTGTGCCAACTTCTCCAAGGCTTCCATCGATTCGGGACTAGAATCAACTAGAGGCGGTAGAAAAGACACATTAACTCCAGTTCTCATTCTCATGGCATTCCTCACCATAATGACCTGCAATTTTAACGATAATTTCACAGGCATCCACATACCAACATCAAGCCTAAATAGATGCGCCTTTAAAAGAAATGATGTGGTCAACTTGAACCAAATTAATCCAAAGGGATAAAACAGAGTATCGCCCTTCCACGAGATGCTCTAGTTTAATATGGTAGAGATCTCCTTGCCACAAAATTACTGTGTACAACTTGGTAATCTGTACGTAGTAAAAACAACCTTATAATGACCTAAAATTGGAAGTCATCCAAATACCTGGTGTTCGCAATTGAATACTGAAGCAGCATTCTTCCGCTGAAGTTCTGATGCGTGTTGCAAAAAATCTGAAAGACTAACACGGTCATCCCCTGCCCAACCTTGACCTACTTGAGAAGACAAGCCACAAGCAGCAAATAGCTTTCCGATGGCCACTTTGGTCCCAGGCAACATTTCAGCTCCTCTTTGAGGGTGAAATTTGACTTGTGGTGGAGGGAGTGAGACCTCAACCCGTTGTAACGCATTGTCATGTTTGGTCTCATCATCACTTGAGTCCTTAATAAAGAACTCAAAATGGTAAGAGTAACGATTCGAAGTGTTTCTACCTCTAGCAGCATTCAAATACTCCTGGAGCAGTTGAAAGGAACGTAGGTTTGTTGCCTGCAGGATGAAGTGCACATCAATCTCCCTGCCAACTTGCAAAAAAACAATTCCAGAATTCCGATCTCTTCCCCAGTAAGAGTCAACATGCTCTCCCAATACAGTATCCATTCATAGTACATTTCTCAGAATTCTAGAAGTCGAACTTCAGCAACATAACACCTCCAACATCCTGCATTCGTTGTCCTCTATCCGAACCAAATTTGCCAAACCGCAGAAGTATTAAGCCACGCTGGATACTGACCTGTTCCGTAGGGAAATTATGGAGTAAGTCAGGATGAATAAGCTTGTAAAGGCGGCGAAGTTCATTTTTGAATTTGGGAAAAGTTTGTGCATCGTCATGAATCCATCGTATTGCTTGCAAAATATGCTGGGCTCCTTGACCAAGAGTCGAGCTGCGTCTCGAAAATAACTCTCGCCCGCATGCCCACATCGGAATTTCATTCAAACCCAACCCTTCTCTAGCAGAAGCAAGTCAGGAACGAGTGAACGATTAGGGTGATGACACCTTCAAACCACAGAGAATGATGAGCATTAGCAACCGAAATGTTTTCTTACACTAAATAGCATGAAATATTGAATTCGTAAGGACACTTAAACCTGCACGAACCTCGTAACCATCACAATGATCACACTCCGAATACAGAGTCAGGTAGATTAAAAGTAGGGCATGTAAATGTGAGCTCTGGCATGCCATTCTGAAATGCACGATAAATGGGCAAAATGCTTCACTAGTTTTGGTCAGATGATAGTACTCCGCCAGGCAATTACTTTCAATTCAGCGACACACAAAGGCTTACATCTCTGAGTTATTCAATATGCAAAAATCCCGGATTCCGAATCGAAGCCAGTTCTAATCAAACAGAGAACTGGCAGTAATTTTCAATCCTCAATGGGACACAATGAAACACTACATCCCTAGAAGAAATCGCAAGCCCTGGAGCTAAAACCCTAATAAAAAATAGAAAGATAGCTCTAATCACTACTAGGCGCAGACAAAGAATTGAACAAACATTCACGTACCACAACAATAATCTCTCACTAGGGATCTGACGGATACTCGCATGAACTGAATATCATTAGGCCACTGATGAGCAGAAAACTGTCCAACTCAACCACGAAAACACGAGAAACAGTTCACAAAACTAAACGAAAACAGCTGAATTTGATAGCCGCGTCAAGGTCCGAATTGCAAATCGAGTTCTCCAAAACTATACACAAATTCAACTGAAAAATGAGGTGGGCACCTCAAGAAAATGCTCTAATCTCTTCGAAGCTCCAGGGCCCAGCAGAACAGACGAGCGAGGTGTTGCAACAAACTTGAATGTGGTGGATTGAACGTGGAAATGGTGACACTGTGCTACACAAGTCACAAACACGGAGCAGACACCTGCGATGAATGGCTGAGAGCGATGAATAGAGTCTATGCGTCGATGTGCATACGAATTCTATCTAGAGTTGTGTGCGCATTATGTTGCTCTCCCTGTAATGCTAAGTATGCACACGCAGCATAAATTAGTTTGTCTTATCGCTCTGGTGGTGTTTAACTTTGTATTCATTTTCTACTTGGAAATCTTTATTTGAATAGGTGATACAGTAAAACGATGGTGTTACTTGATTGGATAGTTGATCAGGTATAATTAGTTTAAAATCGACGTGACCTTGTGTGAGGTGAAATTGTTTTTCTTCAAACAAAAGAAGTTGAATCATGTCTTCACTTTGATCAGTACTAAGATGAAATATTAGTAAACTTTACAGTCACGTCAATAATCCAGATGACGAAAGTCAAAATCCATCCTAGGAAGAGGATTTTTCTGAATATGGATATGAGAGCACCTCACAAAACAAGCTCACACAATCGGCAAACTAATAACAGTAATGGTACCAACAGTGGTATTAATACTAGTAGTAAAGGTATCAGCATGTGATGCTGATGTAAGGATATACACATTCTAGTCAAGATTTCGGCCGAGCAAGTTAGCTAGAGTTTCAGCGACAGTCAAGTGCCAAAACAAATGTCCAGCTCGAGTATAGCTTGTAAAACAGTATAATGGCAGAAGACGAATATAATTCGGACCAAGAGGCTCTATTCCCGAGAATGCTCAAAGAGCAATTTACAGCATGCCCGTGACACAAAACACCCAGAGAAATAATGGAATCTCGTCCGGGGATTGGACTCCTTACCTGGAAGGACACTGTAAAAATTGCATGAGTTGCATCTGAGATGCATCTGAGATGCACGCAAGAACTACAACTACATCAAAACAATCAGCGCAGATGCGCTAGAATTAGTATGTACACCTTGACCATCTAAATATGGTCAAACTAGGAATAGTCTGTGACAGCTAATGATCTTGCATCAAACTACAACATTGAAGCCGTAGTTGAACTAGCATGAGCATGACACCGTCTCGTCCTCAAAGAGCAGCTGTCACGGACCATCCGTTTGCCAATTCGTAAAGCAACTAATAAACGCTTAATTAGTGTCAGGCGCGCGGGATTCGGAACTACTAATCAACTGAGTCCTACGGATGCCCCAGAAGGTTTGGGGGCGGGTGTTCGGGTCCTCTGCAATGAAGCGCCAGCCCATATGCTGTTCCCTGTTATTCAAATAACAAGTCTGGCACTTGGCAAGAATCCACGCATACCTGTATCAAAGAACCGTGCCGCCATGAGAAACACAAAAACAAATGAGATCAACCACATAATTGCCATCAACTGATCAAGGTAAGAGCATCAAAGCAACCACGGCGTACCATGCAAATAAAGTCGCAGCCACGACTAGGAACTTACCCCGGGAACCAACTATTCTCAGTCTGTGGTGCTCCTTTAATGCGCATATTACGAGCGCATGACATGGTGAGAGTTTCATGAATGTAGCCGTGTGCGTTGACGTAGGCACCAATAGCACCCTCAGTAGACATAACAAAAACGTCCCTACGCCTCCCAATGACTTCCTGAAATATTCAACGACGGTACTTTCAGATATCACTTGAAAAAGCAGAAAGGGGATGTAAATGGCCATCATATTCTTCCATTAAATACTCCGTTCCATTCTTGACAATTCATCAAAGAAGAAAAATCACTTACGCGGCAGCAGTTACATCTCAATGTATCCAAGCCCTCCAGTAGCTGAATTTCACGTTTGAGACGAGCTAGAGTCGTATCGATCTCCAATAGCTCTTGGCGAGTGTGATCCTGGATAGGCATGTTACTGCCTATGTAATACGAAAGCTCAGTAGGCTTAGTTACAAGTTCTTCCAGACGAGGATGATTCCCCATTTGTCTCATCATATCTGTAAAAACAAAGTAACAGAAGAAAAAAAAAAAGTTAGCAACATGCAGTTCATACCATTCGACTTATTCAAATTCATCACAAGTGTAAATGAGAAAAAAGGATTTTAAGGATATGATCTACTCAGACTCACCAGCTGCCCGCCGAGCCAAGTCGAAAGCATCATATTGACGGTAAACCCAGTGAGGCCAAGTTGATAACTGAGCCCTCATAGACCATCGAGAGGCATCCTTTCGCCACTTTCGATATGCATTGACATAGGGACCCCCTCGTGATCCCACCGCACAGAGGGGAAGGGTCTCAGCAGCCGTAGACTCTTCACTTTGAGCAGGTTGCCTCTCTTTGTCTCCCACCTCCTCAGTAGATTGTTCTCCCTCAAGAGGAAACCCCTTCTCTCTATATTGACTTACTTCTAGAGGTTCTGGAGGCTTACGATTCCTGCCTTCCGTAGGTTCTCTTTCCACAGATTCCATCTCTTCCAAACGTCGCGCAATAGAGGACTCAAAATCCAGTCGTTGGCGAACTGGAGGTCTCTCGAAGAAGGAGCCGGTGCCATCATAGTCTTCATCGCTACAGTCCCCGTCTCCAGCGACAGCATCCACAAAGTCGTCACTTTCGTCCCTGAGATAAATTGGTAAAGCAACTCAGTTTCAGAACGATTAAACGAGGTAATTTTTTAAATGTATTACACTCATGTCTATGCTGGGGGGAGGGGGACCAATAAAAAAACAAACAACAAACAAACAAAGCAAAAAATATATCTTGTTATAAAAAAGGAGATGAATAGGGAATATGGATGTGGTAGTACTAGCCAATACACTAGCTCAATGCTCTGTATAGATATTCAACAAGGAAACTCACCCATTAAGGGCTTCAATCCTATATTCGTCAGCGACTTCATCTTCAACCTCACTTTCTTCTTGCAAAACATGATCTCCTTGTGCCATCTGCCCCTCTCTACAAGGCGAAAACATACCAACTTAGACTTATGACAAACAATATATAAGCTATCCTCAACACAGTAAAAAGCGTTAGAAAGTTCAAGCTAGTGTAATGGTGCACCTGATGTCTGCATGGTAATTGACATTTGGCTCCGCATCCTCTGGTTCTTCAAAAAACTCATCCTCGCTTGCAGCTCGGGGTGCATAACCTGATAACAGTCCAGTGGGGCTGTGCTTGGCTCTGCCAGTCCTTCGTTTGAAAACACTGGCCATTGGACTAAACGCATGATTGAAACGACCAGGAAAATCACCTAGCTTTTTGGTATCTTCTTCAATAATTTGGACTTGCGCAAACAGCTGCATCAAATCTCCACATGCGTCATGTTTAAAAGATGTCACAATACAGAATACGTCTAGAGAAAGTTGAAGGCCAGCAATACAGGCAACAATACCAGTACGATCACTTTCTTCATATCACTGAATACAATGAGTACGATTCAAGAGGGATTAGAGAATTACAGCGCCATCAGGTCGAGTCCAGACGGTTAAGATTCTGAAGCGTTGTTCACCTGTCGTCATGACATTGACAGATCCATCCCTCTGTTCCTTCACTTTACAAATCTGTGATGACAAAAAATCATGAAGATCTCAATATTAAGTAATAACTTTTCTTTATTGTAAACAATTTATCACTTCTTCGGACAACTCCGTCCACATTAAAAGCGAACATAGAACTAATTGCTGCTCAATTAAATGAAAACTTATTACCCCACACGTAATCGATCATGGACATGGTTGAAAACTTGGAGGAGTTCCTCTCCGACCAGAATTATAACGGCTTATTGACTTACAATCAAGGAGAAGGTACAGACTAGAACCACAACATCGAAGGCAATGGCCCAAGATGCAAAACAGGACACTGATAACCTATTTAATCCACACAAGAGTCGTAAATTTGAATTTCTTAAACTCAGACCTTAGCGGTCGTTCCGTAGTTCGCCACATGGATTCCACGTCGGGAAACTCGTATATGAATCTGCAAGGTCAAACAGGCAGAACGTGGTATCAAAGAAAAAGTAGACTTCTAGGAAGCATTGTCTCCCTCAATTATATTAGTTCAGAGAAAAACATGAGGTGGAGCTCCAACCTACAATTTCATAAAGGAATGTTTGAAAAAATGCTGTGAAAGACAGAAGACAAAAATTACTGTGGTTGAGAATCTAGAGCCCAGTTTACCACGCCAAGGGTTTGAAACGCGTCGTTGCTATCCGGACACAGAGCATGAGTTACGGCAGCCTTGAACCTCTGTTGGAGCACGCGCAGCGGAAGCTTCTGATGTGGAAACAAAACGATACCTGAAGCTCATCGCTAAGCTCGTGAGTCAACAGAATGTTTACTGCAACCAAAAAGTACAGCATACCGTTACAGTACTCCCAAGGAAACAGTATGAAGTAGCATACCCTCCAAGTAGAACATCGGCAGCTTCAACACTTGACCACCTGCACCATTGAATCCGTCACTGACGACATCCTCCAAATCTGCAAATTCACACAGAAGGTTTAGAAAAGACGTAAGACCTGGATACACTTGATTGGCAGTGAGCGGCACACGCGTAGTAAATACACCTGAACCAGCGAGAACTTGACGCACGTAAGTTTAAGGCGGCGACCGACCAAAGAAGTAGGAATTTGAAAAATTAGTGACCCACACAGGTAAAACTACATAATACGAAAATATGCATATATATATATATATATATATATAATGTATCAGGTTAGATGCAGCTAAATAAGATAAAAAAACGGGTTTCTTATGTACTGCAACATCCAAGATACTGTGCAAAGCTAACACACCTCCAAGACCTCCAAGATAAGTATGCGCAGAAGCAAGACTGGTGTTGAAAGTCAATGCCTCTTGCGGTTCCCAATGTGCATCCCCTTGATCGTGGTGACCGCTGCACAGACACACGACATGAAGTAAGCTAAGCGAATAGACGAAAGACCTGACATTCGAGAACATAGTTAAAACTCATCATACTGTCGCCATGATAGCAAATGGTCTATTACCTCACAATCTCCCTTGAAGGTCCATTAAAATCCTCCAAGCTCAAGACATATTAAATGAAATGAAGACGGACTCACACACAGTGGTGATTCTTAAATATCCAGTACATTGACATTTACAACCTAGAGCATCAAAAATAAGTTCAGTCGCAGATGCTTAAGGAAAAGATCGCCCTCCCCTACGCGTATCCGAATATACAGGGATAGTTAATTCATGTAGCGCACAATATTTGGGGCAGAGAACCTTAATGATGTACCTGTAATCTTCGCTCTGTGATCCAATTTCTCCTTCAGAAGACATTTCGGCAGCACTCTCTGAATTGGCATCCGAGTCCTGCATCCGGAGCGCTGCCTCTCGGTGCTGCTCCTCTGTAGAATGCGATTCACAACCCTCATCTGATGTGCCTACGTCGTTACAGTTATTTCCGCCATACCCTGACGACCCCTCCATGTCCTTGAAATCAAACACACCACACATTCCTACTCAAGCTCCCTCTACCCTGTTTCCAACTAGCCTCAGTAGTATCAATGATTCTTTGCAAAACAGTCCGTGGATTCTTAGGTCAGTCTTTTCAGAATCCAAATTCAATCGAGGCACACGAATCACTGTCTTTCTGGCCCTACTCCGATCCGCAACCCTCTCACTACACTATTCCGCGCCTTCATTAACTCAAACTGCGAGCCACGAGACAGCATGATATGTCCGTAACAATCACCTACCATACTTACGTGAGGAATAAAGTTAAGCGGCACAACACGGGCTACTTCACTCAAGCGCACAATGCCTCGCTCATCGCCTCGTCAACATATTCGGCAACAGGAGGGTGTGCACCCTTTCGTAAACTTCTTGCTTTAACAAGACTAACAAAATTCTGTAGGCAAGCCCCTGCGCCAACGCTGCTTCATGCTATTTCACGACCCGATAAGCCAGAAAGCTCTCAGTCAATTTCTTTAGGATATGAAAACCTCACACGGGATCACGAATGAATACTAGAACAAGCCAACGCAAGAGCCTGGGAGAGAAATGAGGGGTCGGAGGGAAGCGCATAAAATCTCTGTGTTGTGTCAAAAGGAAGACGAATCTTCGGTGTTCGAAGCCCGTGATTACGGAGCAGGGGAGGACGTTCTAAGTGGGTAAAGAAGGTGTTTCAATTAGGATAGAAACAACAAATCACAGCGTTCGCATGTAGCATGTACAAGGCAGTTCCGCAGCTGATAATAATAATAATAATGATGATGGTGATGACGATGATGCGAGACGCCTTTGTGCTCCGAAAAATCGCGTCAAGTAGGAAGCAGCTGGAAATGTAAAAAATAAATTAAATTAAATTAAAAAAGGAAATGGACCATGGAATCCGAAAGGGAGAGCTACACCAGGCACAGACACACCCCCCCCCCCCCAGCACCGGCGCACGACGTTATCGGAAAACGAGACGAAGGAAAAACTGCCAGCCAGCCAGGGCGCCTTGGCAGGCGTTACCTTGCTAACATAGCTTATAGTAAGATAAACGGATCTGTAAAGGAGCTCATCTTTTCCCCCTCGCACATTCGCCCTTTGTCTCCCGCAGGCACCATGACCACATCACTGTTTTTTTCCCTTTTCACTCCTCTCAATTACGGCTGCCCATTCAGACCAACGCATTCATGGCATGCCAGATAGACAATCGATCGATCCTGCCAAAAACCTCCCTCTCAGATCGCCACTCCATGAATCATTCCGCCACCATTAGGCCCCTAATCCCTACCTCTCTCTCGCTCCCCTCTCCTCCCCACCGTCTTAATTACACTTCCAATCCGCACCATAACCTCATTTTATTATTAGCTTCCCCTCCTATCGAAATCGTCGCTGACCAAATTTGCCCGCCCCCGAACCGCTTCTGAAATCCAATCGATTCGACTCAACCACAGGTCGACGACACACATTTCCATTCGGTGAACGAAAGCCCCACACTCAGGAAATTCCACCCCTGGCCCGCGCACAGCCAACGAGAGATACCGGAAAGGGGCCCTCCGGTGAAGAATCTACCGGCGGGGATCGGGGTTAACGGAGGGGGGCAGTTGGTTTACCGCAGCGAAGGGGAACGGAGGGGGCGATCAGGACCGGGAACGAGACAACGGGAACCTTTTTGCAAAGGGACCGTGGCGTTCCCACCACGCGTTCCCCAGTCGGTGATAAGCAAAGCCAGCGACTGGAGCGACGTGAATGAACAGAGCCCACTAGCGCCGAACCCCAGGAACGACGCTGGATCCCCACCGTGCAATGACCGAAGGGCCACATCGGAGCCGTCCATTGTTCGACCATGATGAGGAGAGTACAGTGGGGGAGAGAATAGGATCCTGGCAGCCTTTGGGGTTTCCCACGACCGCATGGCTCCGGAATGCCACGTCACCAACCTCGCTCGCTATTTATAGCGCAACATCATGGTGTCCGCATTCTGTTCGTGGGCTTGCGATTAAAGATGAATGAATGTGTACATTCGTCAATTCGCATCGTACATTTTTTGGCCTTTGCCTTTGCCTTTTTGGTCGTGAGGGAATTTTAGTTAATGACTCTAGTGTGTGTGGTTCACTACTTTCGCCGGGGTTGAAAAACAGAACAAGGACAAACTTTACTTTTAGGGGATTAAAGGACTTTAATGATGTGGAGCCATTCACCAAAACGTGGGTGGAGCATGTGAGAGAGGGGGATTGAGTGGGTTATGCCCAAACGTGTGAAAAGGGTTATATTTTTATTTATTATTATTATCATTATTCCCAACTCACTTGGTCTTTACACTTGATCCTTTTGTCAGTTTTTTGATGAAGGTGAGAAGTCAAATTGGTTTACTTGGTGCTTGTGGGGCCTTGAAGAAATAAAGATGTTCTTATACTTTTTTGCTTTATTTAATTTTTATTTATTTAATCCCTCTGCCATGCAGAAATCATTAATAATGTTTTTCTCTGACCTATTCCAAATCATGCAGAAATCCCATATGGGAACATCTTTTACTTACTGCATTTCAAGAGTTTCTAGTTGCGTTTTATTATTAATATTACTGTTGTTATTTATTAGTGTGTGTACACATTGTAGCCAATGGGTGTCATTGCTTTGATGGGAAAGTTATATGGTAAAGCAAGATATTCATGAGTCATATTATACAAGAGGTTGGTGAATCACAATGCAAAACCATGTAACCAAGAATCACATAATCATGTTGCATTAGTATCACACATAAAACAAATGACAAAGAAACATGAACAAATCAGATATATATATATATATATATATATATATGTATATAGGTCATTAAATAGTATTACACCTTTTATATTGTTTTGTTCAATAGTTAGTTTTGAATTATTATTTGGAATTTATGAATGAACCTCTTTCTTCGTATGTATATATATATATATATATATATATGATGGCATGTTATAATAAATAAATACCTCTTTTTAAGTAGACACCCATGAACAAATCATATTTATCAACAAATGTTTTTAGAAAATAAAATCATCCAATAACTATAAATATGAATATATATATATATATATATATAAAATATTTTATGAATTAAGTATTTAAAGCAATAAATAAAGAAACCATGTAATAACTCTAAACCCTAAACCTAGAAGATAAAAAAACAAACAAACAAACAAACAAACAAACAACAACAACAACAACAATGTTTTAAATAATCTTTAAGAAACTCATATCTTTGTTTCAAAAGACATAACTTTGAAAATATATTAAAGTAATATCTGTCTCTTATAATGGATAACAAGTCGTCTTCTAAGGAAGTTCAATCTTTCCATAAAGAATACATGTTCTTTGGAAAATGTGTTTGATAGATGTTATGTCTTCATTCATTAGTTTTTTAGTTTATAATAATAATAATAATGTACACTTTAATTGTTGTCTCATGTGTTATCTGATTATCTGATTGTTTTCTTGTATGTGCTCTACTTACCATTCTAACATTAAACTAGAAGTTAAATTGGTTAATTTCCAAAAAAGCATGGCTTGTTGCATAAGCCTACATCTGTGTTTCATAATACCTAAATAAGAGGTCCAAATTTGAGAGTAAAGAAATGAGATGATATTCTACTCATTTACAGTGTGTTAATGAACTCAATTACAAAGGATATATTATTTATTATCGAAATATATTGAAGTCATTAAGAGAATTTTGCAGAGTGCTATCTAAGAACTTGTGGAGAAATTAAATATTTGATTAAACAAACATTGTATTGTGTCTTCTATTATTTTCATAAATAGTAGTTTCCTTTATAGATCATCTTAGTTATTTAACATACTAATTCTTATTTTTAATAAAATTATCGAATTACATTTTCAATTTAATCATCACATTTTTTTTTTAATCTTTTACTAATACAAACAAAAAATAGCAAATAGTTCATATTTTATTATCTTTAGATTAATTTTTTCTATTGTAAGATCTATACTTGTATATTTTTGAAACACACAACTAGAGTTAGAAACAAGGTAAGATTTATAATCTCTCTTTCTTTATAAAATCAAATAATATATTCTCTTAAAAAAGAAGAAAAAACAAAAAAAAAACAAAAAACTACTTCCAAAATGTCATTAATAATAGTAACATTATAAATTTTATATTTACAACTTCTAATTATGCACTATTAGTTATTAGCACATCATTCTAAAATAAAATCTCAACCTTAACATGTGTTTGTAAATATAACTCTTTTATGATTGTACCATATTATTTGCCATTTAAATTAAAATAAATATTGAATGTAAAATTAGTTTTTTCTTTAATTTAAATTAGCAAGACAATTATATTAATTTTAAAAACAATAGCAAAAATCTTCCCATTTTTCTCAAAGTACATTGATAGAAGCACATCTTAGCTCTTTTAACTAAAGTATTTATTTTTCTTCAACATTATTAATATGATAAATTATATATATATATATATAATCACATTTTACAATATACACTTTGCAAGAAGTTTGATTTCATTTGTGTAGATAAATTAAGTAGCCATTCTATCATTTTTTTTATACAATCTAGAAAAGCTGATTAGATTTTGTTTATTGTACAAAAAAAAAATTGATATGTGATAATGTTACAGTGATGGTCAATTAATCATTTATTGCAAAATATTGTCTTTTCAAGTGAATTTTGTAAATATGATCTTATATCATATCCATAAAATTTATATCATATAATACTTTAATATTTAAGTATTTTTAGTGATATATATATATATATATATATATTCTTATTCAATGTCAAATTTGAAATATCTATAATTGCTAGTCATATTAAAATACACAATAAACTGCATTAATGTATTTTTTTAGATATTTAAATGAAATAGGACTGTAAAGATATATATATATATATATATATATATATGTAGAATCAATAACATTCTATCTTAGATTTATTACAACTAAACATCTATCTAAATTTTTTCTTTGTTGTTATGCATCTGTATTAAAACATGTTTCTTCTTTTGTGTACAATGCATTAGAGTTTTACAATAAAGAAGATTTTTTTGGATGCATCACTATGTGTACATAATACAATTAAACTTATTAGTGTTGTTTTTCTTTGGCCTTCCAACAATTTTTTTAGATTTCAATGAAATTCATAATACAAAATAAATTTCCAAATATTTAGGTTTCTTTAGTGTAGATTTTCCAATAGCACTTTCATATACATAATATAATAAAGACATGCATGTTTATTGTGTCTTGTTTAAATATGTTCTACATGAATTAATTTTGAACACACTTTAATTTGAAAATGGTAGTAAAAATTATGGTGCAAGAAAAGAATTACAAAAAGCTATAAATATTCAATCCATTGTTTTTTTTTTAACTTAAATATTCTTGCAAATATATCTTTTGCAAAAATAAAAATAACTTTTGATGTCTTAGCAAGTCTATGCTATGAACTTTATCAAATTTTATCCTTTTTAGAACTTATCATCAATTTTGTACATATTATATATATATATATATATATATAATCCAAAGATTATAAATTGTATAATTTATAAGTGTAGTCTAAATTTAGATTAATTTATAATATTTAGAATTTTTGCTCAAACCTTGATTATATGATTTATTTTTAAAAACAATGTAAGGCAACAAAATAATTAAATACAACACTAATTACATTTTGAGATTTCAATATTTTATACACATTATATATTTAATCTAAGATGTACATTTTTATCTCATAATCATTGAAGATTGCATATTCTTATTTTTGATATTAACATAGTTTAAACCTCTGATAGTCTTTTTTAATACTATCACAAAATAATTACTAATTTAAATTGCAAGTAACAATATTAAATAAATTTGGCTTGCTACATACTTAAATTATGTTTGTAGTATCTTAGTAAGGCTAATGCATTTACTTACTACATTGTGTAAAATAACAACAAAACATATCTTAATCAATATAAAATCAATCAATATTCAATAAATATAATTTAAAATCAGTTATTTTAAGGAGAATGATAAAGCAACCCAAATTTTTACTAAAGCAAGCCACTCTATCTTAAGCATCATTGCACTCTTGGAGCCCCCATCCCTATTCTCAGCCATTCTCCTATGTCAATTGTTGCTAGCGACTTAGGCATGGCCTAGGAGTGCGAGAGGCAATGGTTGGGAATAGGGGAATGGCTAGAAATGGGGCATGTGGGTCGATTTAGTAAAAATTTGGGTTACTTTATCATTTCCCTATTTTTAAACTAGACAAATGAATAATACTAATTATCTATAAATAAATAAATAAATAATAATGATTAGTTTAGAATATGATTAACCTTGTACTTTGTAAAAACCTTCCATAGTGGTGATTACAACTTTCATTAATTAGAATGTAAGAAATATTTTAAGAAAAAAAAATATTGCAACTATCTATATTTTTTTTAAGTGGATAATTTTTATCTTTGCTTTTATTTATATTTCAGCTATTTCATTATTGGATTATAAAATTTTCTTGTTGTAATAGAACTATTTAAAACTTGGCCATGTATTTACAAGAGTAAATAATCATATGCATAATACAATTCTCCGCTGATGCTCAAGAGTGGAATTTTGGTGAAGTGTGTTGATGTGGAGGCATAAATAAGCAATAAAAGGGGGCAAGGTATGGTTTTAGGGTTTGAGACGCTTCTAGGCCAGGCCAGGCCAGGCCAGACTAGACCCAGTCTCGTTGCTTGCTTCATCGCGAGCTCGTAGTGTTCTCATTCACTAGCTCGCTCACTCAATCAATCAATCCCCGAGGTCACAATTGCGCCCTCACCATCCGCAATCAGTTTTGCCCGCCATGACGAAATCCAGCGTAATTCAGGTGCCGCCGAAAGGTGGTTTCAGCTTCGATTTGAGTCGTCGCAATGCTATGCTGCAGCAACAGGGTGCCAAATTGCCCAAGTACCGCAAAACGGGAACCACCATTGTTGGTCTTGTTTATAAGGTTCGATCGGATTGATTGGATCAGTAGCGTCATTGTTTGTTTGTTTGTGTTTTTTTTTTTTTTTTTTTTTTTTTTTTTACTTTAGTTTTTGTAATTGTCAGGGTTTGGTGGGTTGAGGCTGTGTCCCTCGTGCTTCGCCTCAGGATGGAGTTATCCTCGGAGCTGATACGCGAGCGACAGAAGGTGAGATTGTTTGCGACAAGAATTGTGAGAAGATTCATTACCTTGCACCGAACATCTACTGCTGCGGAGCTGGTACCGCTGCTGATACTGAAAATGTCACAGGTTGGTCTCTCGCGTCCCTGTGTCGTTTCTCATCCAATTCTGCCCCGATGATTATTTTAGGGTTTGGTGAATCAGGAGCCGTGCTATAGAATTTCGAATTGATTTTGGTCGAAGGACACCGAGTGAGTGTAGAACGAGGTGGGTACTGTGTCAGTTTGTCACTTTTGGGTAATGTCCGTATTGCTCGGATATCATTCGATGGAGGTTCGTGCAGGCAATTTGACAAGTAATGCATTCCTTGGTAAATTGGACACTGCTTGAATTGTTTTGAATCCATGAACTATCATCTTGTTTTTCTGAATTAGATTGGTTGTATGATGTGTAGATATGGTTAGTTCGCAGCTGGCTCTGCATCGATATGCCACTGGTCGAGATTCCCGCGTTGTAACAGCATTGACCATGATCAAAACTCACCTATTTAGGTACAATTCCTCTCTGAGTTTCGGTTTTTGATCATCTGGAACAGTATGGACGATGGTTGTACATGAGGATAGCCTGTTTGATGATCATGGTCTCTAGTCATATAATCATTTCTTTGCTTGGAGTGCATGTTGCTATGAAAACATTCATGTTCATTTTATGCAGTCTGATGTACGTATAATTTACTGTCTGGCATTTGAAACAAGCTCGACAAAGTGTGAGTTCCTTGACGCAGGTATCAAGGTCATGTTAGTGCAGCCCTAGTTCTCGGAGGAGTGGATGTCACCGGACCTCACTTGCATGCGGTAAGTATTGGGAGATGTCTTTGTTTCATTGATCGTAGTATTTATGATTTTCCCACTGGGAATTCCAAAAAAAATAAATTAAATCTCAGCTTAGCTAGTTGCATAATCATGCAGATTGATACAGAATAATTGGTTATGAGCTCAATTTCCATCATGTGCTTGTCCTCCTGAAGGCGATTGACAACGTGAGGCATGATTTGCAGATATATCCGCATGGATCCACAGATACGCTTCCCTTCGCCACGATGGGTTCAGGTTCTCTGGCTGCTATGTCTGTCTTCGAATCCAGATACAAGGAAAATCTGACTGTAAGCGTGTTTTTTTTGTCACAAAAGTCCCGTGGCATTCCATCCTACTAAGTCGAGGGTTTCGTTTCTTTGTTGTCGAGCGAAATATTTTGATTGTTTCGAAACGGATACATCTGAGTGAATTCCTACTGCATCTAGTGTCTGAAGATGGCCCCTCTTGCGATTTGTTTAAGTTGGAAAAAAGCTCGAAGTATGACTATCAAAACCACACCGTTTTATTTCAATTATTGCAAGCCGTATTGATAATGAAAATTCGTACCAAAGTTGGAAATAAATCGACTTGAGAGGCACACTAATATAAGATATTCACAGTATTCAAAGTACGCTAAAGATAGATGAAATGCGTGTTAAAACTTTTCACTCGTTAGTTAAATTTACCATGATAAGTGTGAATAGAACAAGGATGAACTTTTTTTTTTAATGATATATGTTTTTGATAATAATGAAGAAAAAAATTTCCTCAAAGAGTAATGGTCAGTACACAATTATACACCAGTTTGACCGATTGGAGCAGAACGACTGTGAGGGTGAGTCGCAGTATTTAGACTTGCAGTAAATAAAACATATGAAGTGACACCTCTTTCTGTATGGCTTTTATATCACATCGTGGGTCACAGAGAGAAGAGGGAATGGAGATCGTGTCTGCTGCCATATGCGCTGGTATATTTAACGATCTCGGCAGTGGTAGCAACGTGGATCTTTGCATCATAACGAAGGCAAGTGCTTTCCTTTCAATTTTATATGATTTCTCCTTTCCACAAAGTTCCGCATCTATGCAGCTTGGACGTTTTTTAGATATTCTAATCGTTATGTTAGTCTAGCAGGAAGGGAAAGAGTACCTGCGTAACTACCAGCAGCCTAATCCTCGCAGCTACACTCGTTCCAAGGGTTACGATTTCATGAATGGATATACTGGTAAGCCACTCTCCAACGATTCCTGGCTGGGCCATGAAATCGTTATTCAGTCGCTCGATATTTTCTGTCCGCAGAGTGCACCATGTGCGAGAAGTGATTTGTGCTTTGTAAAAGCTGTAGTGAATGTGTCCTTTAACATCAGAAGAACGCCGTGTCATGGTGTCTCATATTCCCACTGCAGTTCTTCTCCGTCTCGAAGTCAAACTTTTTCAACTAAGAGTTATCCAGAACTTCTGGCAGCATTGCTTGGCAATGAGCTGTATTATAAATATCTTTAGATGTGTGTGTGTGCGCGTTAATGTACCACTTCTGCAAGCATGCATCTGATGCGACTCCATTCTGTGATTGTGTTGCAGCTGTTTTATCGACACAAATCAGACAGCTACGACAACATGTACAAGTTTTGGAAGGTGATAGAATGGATGAGGAGTAGTTGTTCAATGGGGTTTGTGTTTCCCTCCGGTTTATCTGGGTTTCTAATTTCTATGTTGTCCGGCATGTTATATCTATGAAATATTTCTAAACCAGACTTTCTGTTTTCACTGGGGAGCTTTTCCAGTTGTCCCATGTGGTCGAAATATTCTGATTTTGTTGCATTTTGAGTCAGCTAATTTTCCCATCTCGATCAAATTGTTTCACTGTTTCATTTTGGTACATCTTCTTTTTGCCTCGCTTGCATTACGTCAAAAAGGTCCTGGCTAATGTGTGCATCCATGACCTCTTCAGTGGAAGTTTGGTGGAAGTGCGGTATTGACTTGTAATAGATTGTAGAATTTTTAACGGCTGTTTGAAATTAACATCTTGGGATTAAAAACGTTTCAATAGAACAGTAGTTTCATTACATGAGACAATTCACATGTTGCCGAGCAGCAACGTGGCAGAAATAGGTTGAAGATAGAAAAATGGGAGGATTGTGGTGGAACAATCCAATTGTTCTGTATTTACGCTATTGACGGTTCTTAGGAATGCAATTTTCAGTAGTAGTAGAGGATTTCCAAATATTCCATACAAAGTAGGAGAATGAGCAAGAGAAATTGAGACAAATGATCTGTTGACCAAAAATCTCTACATGAGTTCCTAAAAACATTTGCAGCAAGGATGTGTACTGCAAAGTGTTCCGCACCCGCTCATGTCATGTGAAAAAATAACGAGAGAGTCCACAATATTGGACAATTTCTGGAACACTGACCCTATCATTGTCCAAGTTGTTTATTAGTCTTTATTCATTACTGAATGTGTGAACCTAAATCCCAATTGCACCGTCTAAATATTCTTCCACACAGGAAAGATTTCATTGCAGTCACAACAACGTTACAGTTGGAAAAAACCAGTCAGGCGCATTCTGAGTTGGAATGCCGACTGATGGGCTGACTCTTGGCTGTTATCTATGCTCCACAATCAAGGCGAAAAGGAAAAAATAAATAAAATAAATAAATAAAAAGGTATCTAAACGTATCTGTACAAACTGTAGTTTCAAAATTGGCACTTCAAATCAAAGGAAGAGAGGTGCGTTGTCAGCAGGCTCCAAAGATCGGAATATTTCCTTCATTGATTGGATCTCCTCCAAAATTCGCGCATTCAGACCTGTTAAGCACAACCAATTCACGAAGTCAGTAATCTCCCCTTTCCAAGTTTACAGGGTCTATAATGTTGCAAAATATATTGTTGTGCTGAAAGGATATGTGAAAACGCAATAAGGAGCACATAATAGTTCTTACTTGATCAGCAGCGCAAATGAGGCTCTCGAGAGTACGTGTGCGCAGATTCGTACATCAAGGGACCCAAGAGGACAGCCTAGTTCGAGATGAATGTAGGAAAATTGTCAAGTCATCTGGGACTAATAGATCGTTTACGGATCCGCGAACGATTGCTTCTCCGGCGCTCTGAACTAGACCCCGATCCAGATCCGGATCCGGATCCGCTACTTTCTCTTCTTAGATTCCTTTCCATCGATTGCTGGTCACAAATAGCAGTTCATAGTCAATGTGACAGTCAAACCTCGAATTTTAATACTTGACATTGACTACGCTGTTGTCACATGTTCCATACAATATCTGGAAAACACAACCATTATGAAACATGGACAATTTTGGAAATCCCACAGAGCATATGCATGACAAATCTGTGAGAAGTCTGACATGAAGATAGGAAAAAAAAACCAGACGTACAATCCACCAGAAAGAAAACGAGCAGGAATAAGCCACTTACTATAGGAAGCGGATCTTTGTCACCATGATATTCAACCAAAGCCTGTTTTCTATTATCCTTGAGAGCCAGATACTCGACGCAGAAAGGACCCAGACTTCTTCGAGGATCATCAGCGGCCAGACCATCGTATTTTGTTCGTAGTGTGACATGCCATACGGCGGTCAATTTAGTATCATTACCGATCGTAAATTCCCGACTGCTCTTTGCATTGTACCACCAGAGGCCTTTCTTCCAGAGAACAACATCATTCATTGAAACTTCCACCTTGTTCAACCCAATGTTCTTTGATGTAGGCCATATCTTGCACCTTAACATAATGTTAGCATCTCCAATGCTGCATCTGACGCGGATACTTTTGTCCTTGACCTCGTAAGAAGGTGAACTGCATCTGAAGGGATCAGATGTGAATGTAGTTAGTTTGATTGCAGATGAGAGAAATCGTGCACGTAAACACACCCATAAAATCATATGTAACAGTTAGTTAAGATGCAGCACATAAACACAAATACATACGAGAGTTCTAAACTACAGGTCGGGATTTAAGTGTACCCAGAATCATGGTGAATGGAAGTGTGTGGATTGTAAATCGAACTGGCATCGTTGCTGGAACCACCATTGCTTCCGAAATGAGTGACAGGCACTTGCAACGGTACGTGCCAGGTCGGAAATTCGGTACTATGAGTTGGACTCAAGTCATTGCACTTGGCGTTATACAACCCAGCTACCACATCCTTCATGGTCGGCCTGTCCGACTGCCTCTCCTGAATGCAATTTCGAGCAATCTTAACAACTTCAAAAAGCTGATCGTGGGGAATGTCTGAGTTACTAATCCGGCTGTCAATCATTCGAGGAAGAAGATGGCGCATCACATGCTCATCTACACCTAGAAAGTCTTTACACCATTGTACCAATGTGAGTTTGTGCTGGAGCGCACGGCGACCAGTTATGAGCTCCAACAATACCACACCATAGCTGTAGACATCGTTCTTATCACACGGGTGTCCATTCTGAAGGTAGACAGGATCTCTGCGTAAAAAGGCGCATAGAGGCAGCTCTCCATCAGTAATCTCAAAACAAGTAGCAAGTAGCAAGGAGTAAGAACCGTGATCAATAGCGCATTCTACCACTGCCGATAAATGCAGTACTCTTTGGAGTGTAATCAGCTCCGTCTACTTACACATATCCATGGGTGCCCCGCACGCGCATTGACACTGTGGGATCCTCTCCTGAAATAACAGCCTTGCTCAGTCCAAAATCTGCAATCTTCGCATTCATTTCATCGTCGAAGAGAATATTGCCCGATTTGATGTCTCGATGAACCAGAGGAGGATTCGCATGGTTGTGAAGGTACTCCAGTCCCTGCGCTACTTCAACTGCACAACGCATCCGTGCCTTCCAGTCTAGCAGCATACCTTCAGCGTCCTCCAGGGTTCTAGGATGGAGGTGCTGCCTAAGGGACCCATTAGCCATGAACTCGTATACAAGAAATAGGTCATCCTCCTCAACGCAGTAACCCAGAAGAGCCACAAGGTTGCGATGGTGAAGCCTGGAGATTGCATTAAGCTCCGCCCAAAACTCCTTCTCAACCAACTCCTTGTTGCAATTATTCACAAGTTTGCCGTTTACCGGAATGTTCCCTGTCTTCTTCTGAAGCCTCTTCACTGCAGCTTTGCCACGTCCCTCTGGTAGGGAGCCCCAGTACACTATCCCCTGCCCACCTCTCCCAAGTTCCAGCTCGAAGCAATTCGTCATATCGACGATCTCCTTCAAGGTGTACTGCCTCAAGGAGCTCAAAACTGGGCTACTCTTCTTACGCCACGAAGGAGACGCAGGTGGCGAACAGGATGACTGAACTGGTATTATCTGGGCACCTTTCCACAGAAACCCAGTACTTACACCTACAATGAACATCAGGCACAAAGAACAAACAGTACCAACTGTGTCGACTCCCATGCTGCTGTAACGCCCAACCACACCGCTTACCACAGCAAGCTGCAAGCCTTGTAAGTAAGCCGGATGCGCGTTCAGTCTCATAGCATCATCGCTATCAAGCGTTTTAGCTTCTCCACTCGCGCGCGCCATAGCCATGGCGCTTCCGAGCATGCAGGCGTTCAGTCCCAGCCACCTCCATTTCACCCACCTCGACACCGCCATTAGTTTCGTCACCGGTGGCAACCTTTCCAAGTTCGCCACCATCCCTTCCAGACGTGGCAACCTTGAGCTGACACCAGATACTGGTCTTCCCATAGTGCAACACTTTCCTCAAAATCTGCCCGTAATCTGATTCCAAGCGCAAGGATTCTCCCTCCCGAACCCCTCAAAATTCCCCACGGCTATCTGGCCGATCAGTAACCAAAGGCCACCAAAACATCTGACCGAACAAATTCATACTAGCATCTGGTTAAGACGCACACGGCAAGCTCTACCCTAATGTTTCACTGCAACTCCATCACTTCTGGAGGCTTTATCACCCCCCCCTAAAGCACTCGTCCATCCATTACAAACACGCTTGACAGGATTTGCTTTCAAAAAAAAGAAAAATACACAAAACATCGAACGGTCAATGACTGCGAACACGTCGTGGTCGACCCCGAGGTCCAAACCTGACAGCCTCCAGAGATCCCCGCCCAACGGAAAACAGTACTGCATACTCTGATTCTCTGAACATGCCCCAGTGCTCCTTCGCGGCTACATGTACACCACCACGTCGTTTGGCTGCCCTGAGTTACGATACACCTCAAACCTCGCCAGATCTCGCACCTTAGAAGTGGGCCAATTGACGACTACAAAGATACTCGCATAAGCTATCTAAAGCACTGTGGCGCTATCTCTAAATCGAGCGACCGGGACAAACGAGACCCAGAAGCGGCTTCCCTGCCCTCACCACACCATCTCTAAAACCCACATAGGACGAATTCCACGATTTCACATCACTCTATCTTTGCTGTTCTTTATTATCACATTCTCAACCTCTCTCGAATAATACTGAGCTAGCTGCATGATAGTTAGATACTATCATGAATCCTACCATTTTCTAATGTCCTCGCTGCGATTGAAGGCGAAATTCCCTAGAAACTAACTATACGGTTACCTTCAACAAAATCTGGTCACACAGTAGCCACCGTTGCGGAGAAGAAGGCCTAGGAATCTCGGAGGAGGGCCCAGAGGTTTGAGAGCAATCGTGGCGAGAAGCCTGCGAGGAATCGGCAGGAAGAAGTCAAAGAAACACCCTCGCTGTGGCTGCTGACCCCACCAATACTTACACTTGCCCATTCGGCTTCAGGAATCCGGCGTCCTAGCCAATTTCGACGCACAAGCCGCCGCAGTGAAATTGGGCGGCACGCACCCTCGTTAGTCCAATCGCGTGGAAAACTCGCATGGATCGCTGAACTTGGCAGCAGCCTCGACGGATTCAGTCCACGCCCCTCCGAAGCCTCGACGGATTCAGCCTCACTCAGATCGAAAGTGACTGGGCTTGGATGGTGGATGAACGAGTAGATGAATTAATTAAGAGTGGATGATCCTACGAGTACTGGATGGCCCGTGGATGGATTGTGTGACACGATGATGGATGAGGAGAGAGCTGATTTCGTGGATGGATGGGTTCTGGTCGGTCGAAATAGTGTGGGTCAGTTCTACCAATCATTAATGAATTTGTTCCTTTATTTATGTGTGGGTGTGTGTGGGGGTGTGTGTGTGTGTGTGTGTGTGTGAATATTGTTGTACAGTTTTGGGGGAATGGGAAAATAATAATGATGATGATAATAAAATAAAATAAGACAAAATGTTTCTTAAGTTTGTCATTGGGTCCCCCGCTACTTGGAGATCCTTCCCTTTTTTTCTTTGCTCCTAATTTGTCCTGTTTTGTTCCTAGTTGCGTTGTTAGTATTACTCCCACTTTTGTTTCTGTTTCCAATTCCCACTTCTGTTTTTATTTTCAAGTTCGCTTCCAAGCTTTTCTGTAAACATTGTATGATAAAATCAATTGATTTAGTGTTTGCTAGTAGGCCATTATCAGTTTGGCAAGGGATGATCAGCATGCTAAATCACATGGTTTCATATCCAAGAACTGGCAACTTATGTATGCTCAATGAAAAAAGCTTTTACTTGTAAGCATGGACAACTGTTTATGGAACAAATCAAGGGGAGAGCAAAGGCATCAAAAGCATGTAAAGAGAAAGGGGAATGACCTTCTAAAGTGGAGCTTAGGGAACATTACCATTTCCATGCACAAACATATGTAAGTCTTAGAATTCAACATTGGCAAAAGCATCCGTTCAGAATCAAACAAATGCACAATCCACTATTGGAACAAATCAAATATAAAAAACAATAATATTGATGTGCAAAGATGCAAGTAAATCAAAATAACGACTCCTCTTAACTTTTAAGAATGAAGTAAGAAAGCCTTAGCTACCTTGAGTAGTATCAATTCTTACTTTTCTCCAAATCCCAGGTGTGCATCAAGTCTCAAATATATAAATATTTTTTGAACAAGCAGCACAAATATTGCGTATTAGTAATTGCATGGGTACATACATACATACATACACACACACATCTATATATATATATATATATTTGCACACACACACACACACATTCATTTAGTTTCTTTCTAAAACATCATTCTAGTATAATTTCAATCCACATAGTTTTATAAAAGTTCTAAAAGTTTGACATTTTTCCTTTGTCAGCAATAAAATGTCTCATTGGACTTACACTGTAGCTAAAAGGGACTAGTTATAATATTGTTACAAACTAATTGGTACTGTAAATTTCAAAGTCTTGATCCATGTTGTTTTGTGAATCAAAATTTATTGAATTTAAAAATAATAATAAAAATAAATAAATAAACATGCTACTGGAAGCTGCATCATATATGTCTACAAATTAGTTTATTGAATAAGTAAATATTTTGTTTTGTTTTGTTTTGTTTTGTTTGTCTAGTTGTAAATCATTTTAAATCAGAATTTTGAAATTATGCTAAACACAAACAATTGTCATATCTATGCATATATATATATATATATATATATCAATCTTTTTTTTTACAATAATAAACTAAGTACATAACAACATAGTAAAAAATAATTTTAGAATTAAAAATCAAACCCATCTTCAATCTTATTAACTCTTCCTTTGATATCATGCTAACTTCTGAAATATCATAATTATAATAAATTGGTGTAGGTGTTCTTGTATCTTGTATTATTCTAATACACCTTATTTTGGCTCCATTGAAAATATTCTCAGATATGCTTTTATTATTTAGTAATAGTAACCAAAATAGTAACATTTTGATTAAAAAATACCAACTGAAGCTAGCAATTCCACTTTTTGTTTCAAGTTATAACAAGTAATAATTAATATATATACATATATATATACTCACACATGATGTTACATTAAAAAAATATAATATGCAGAGTAAACTTGAAATAAGGGAATTGAGAGGGTTTAAACATCCATTTATTTGAAAGAAATCATAAATTACATAATTTAAGGACCTTTTAATATTTCTAACGTAATATTTAAAATAAAATTTATTTAAAATTCAATTATGAATTGGTGAGATGTTCTTTTTAAATCATATCATTTTCTGTTATCACCAATCATTAATGCTACACTTGTCGTGTTGTTCATCAAGATTTTTCTTCAATGACATAATAATTCACACCAATTCTAGAAATAAGAAATAATGCACAACACTCAAACTTCTTTTTTTTAATTTCCCCAAAAAATTGACTACTATTCCAACAAGTATACTTGAAATCATGAAAGCAACTACAGTACAAAATGAAAATATCCATTTTAAAGTCTCAATTAGTTAACTAATTAATTATTTTTCGGATGGAATTTTCTGTCTATGAAACATCACTTTCTAAGACAGTGGGGTCCACAAACCCCCAATTGTACCCAGAATGAAGGAAACCCACGAAGTGGTTGAACATTTGGTGAGACCACCCCTCCTCATGCGGAATTCAGGCTCAGACGGGCAACGGTTCCGTGTGGAATCTGCTCTCCTCTCCCCGCACTGACTCAGATCAAGAGGACGATTATAGCAGGAATTTCCGCACATCATCACATCTTTACCCCTGCACATGCTTACTATGGGTGGGTGAGGGGGTAGCTGACTGGACACCGAGACCCCCGCATGCCACCTCAGCCTGGATGCCGGGTGTCGTATCGTCCGACGTGGACATGCCACGGTGGCATTAGAACACTGCAGCCGTCTCCCCCCCCTCCTGGAAGCGCCGCGAACTGCACCTCGCTCTACTCAATTCCGTTCCGGCAGAATACTATGCGAACAGTTTTGTTTCGCGATTTCATGCTTCTGATTCTGTTGCGATCTCTGGGAGCAGGAGGAATCCATGGGACCCACTTGGTCGATGCAATTCAATTTGGTTTTGCTTCCGTCTGAATTTGGCTTTCAGAGTACTCCCTGTCAGCAGTTGCCATTCTGTGTGTGTGTGCTTGTCTGTTTATCTTCGTGCGATCTTTGTTTAATTGCAAATGAAGTTTGTGGGTGGTCGCTCTTGGTCGTTTTCTATTTGTGATGCTGCTGTTCTTGGGTTCAGATTGCAGTGGGTGATTGGTGAGTCTCCGTGCCTAGTTGGTTTACATTTCTGATCAGATGCTCTGGTACTCGTCACATTACTCCCAAGCGCCGCAGTTTGAGCAACCCGGAAATGCACAGCCACTGTGGTTGCTTTCATGATTACTTCCAATTTTGGGTATCAGATGGGCCTCCGTCGTTGGCTATCTCGCGTTGCCCATGCTCACGCGTGGTGGCTTCGTGGAGTGGGTTCCAGCGTGACTCCTTCCATGACAGTCCTTGCGATGTATTTGCAAAGTCAACAAGTACAAGTTAGACCCAATTGAATGCAAGAGATGAAAGGAACATAATAATATTGGTTATGAATAGTCAGGGAACTTTGGAAGCTGGTCGAATTTCGAGATTGAAATTGGTCAATTCATCGAAAAAGGAAGACTGTTCGGTCACAATTCCGACTGAGATTCACGATTCTCGACTGGTTCATAGCTTTTAAGGCCTAGGATCTTGGAGTATAACGCTTCTTCATTGGATCCATTTGAATATGGAGAGGAAAACGCGGAGCGAGTCGGAGGGCTGAAGGTCATAGTGATCAACTGTGCGTGGAAATATGCTCCACAGTTTGTTGTTATAGGCTAACAACCAGTTGTTGGGGTTGGAGAGCGTGTCGTTCATCCAGATTTTAATTGACTCTGTCGGATAAGACACGTGGTTTTCTAATTTAAGGCATGGTCATTCATTGATCCAATTACATTTTGAATCAGGTTGCCAAGGTCTCCTCAACTGTAGGATCACTGCCGAAAGTTTAAAAGCATGCAGAATAGATATTATAAAATTAGGTGGTTCCGGATCCAGATCTATTTGAAGATTTTTAGGGCTGGTGATCAATGGTTCTCTAATTCAAACGATGTACGATGTAACATATCTTTGGGGTGCATGTATTGAGGGCCAAGAGGTTGAATGGAAGGAATGATGGATCAGGGACCACCACCTCAACGAGTTAACGGAGTTGTGGGTGAGCTCGTAGAACAAACGAGTGGGAAAGACGTGCTCCCCATCATTGTGCAAAGCTTGGTAAAAGTGGAGTGATACAAACACTGGTGCAATCATATTTCAAGCGAATATACCGCGGTTTAATTTATAAAGGACGCGGTGGTAAAATCACCAATGAGCTCTCAGGTCGTGGAATCAAACAGCTCAAGGTGCTAACACTCTCAACCCCGTGTCACCTTCCAGGGTGGTTGTTACTTCAGGGATACAAAATGAAATGCCGATTGAACTTTCATTCACGTATTGTTTGCGTATGAAAGCTGTCAATCACAGAATTGTAATTTTTTGGAGAAGAAGACTTTTAAATTCTCTCTACATTGCTTTAGGTGCTATTTCATTGATTGCATGATTCAGGTTGATAGCCCACTACTGGACAGTTCTCAAACTTTCTTCTCTTGCACGCACAGAGCACTGTCTCAGAGCATGCTTTTGCTTTGATAAGGTTCCAACCTTCTCTTTACTTGCCCACTTTGCTTCAGATTCGCTTATTGTCAGAAGAATTTTATTTGATCTTCCGTTCGTTGTTCTTGACTTCTGATTTGAAAATTTCCTTCTCTACCCTATGCTTGACAGGAAAAAATACCCTTTTTTGACTGCAAACTGGTCAAGAATACCAATGTGAGGTTTGTATATTTTCTGCAATTTGCTGGATACTCTGGCATGATTGAAGGCCATTGTGGTCTTGGTTAATGTACACAAAGGACACAACATCAAGTAAACCATAATC